TAAGGTTGGCCTCCCATAGCGGAGTGTTTGGAACACACTGGGCAGCAGAGCCCTGGGCACCCTGTGGCTGGTACATGCCTGTCCCCAGCAGGCTTTCCCTGGTTCTACCAGCTCTGAGTTCTCCTCTTAGTGTGCATTCAAGTAACCAGGAGAGAGGACAGAGGAGCCAGTGTCCTGGGGAAGCCCAAGAGCCAGGTAAGCAGACTTGGGCAGCCGCCCAAGTGCCAGGCACATCTGGGAGACCTGGCCCAGGCCAGGGTCTCTCTGAGCCTCAGCTTCCCATCAGTCCACCTCTGTCATTTCCTCAGGGAATCCCCCCAGACGCCCTCCCAGCAGATGAGGTAATCCACAACAGGCTCCCACAGCTCTGGCATGTCTTATTTTTTGTGTGTGGTGCTGGGGTTGAACCCAGGGCCTTGTGCACCTGAGGCAAGCACTCTAACAACTGACCTGTATCCCCAGCCCTCTGGCTCTTCTTCATTATACTTAATGTGGCCAAAATGAATGACTCCAGTCATCAATTGTGAAAGAATCTGGTTCTTCCAGAAAGAATTGAAGCTTCATGAGGAACCAGACTGGTCGATTTCTGGCACCTAGTAGGTGCTCAATAAACATCATGCAAGGAATGAATGAATGAGTGATTGTAAAGTAAGTGCTGCAGAGGCAAGAAATGACTCCAGCCTCCTCCGGATCTTTGTGATTACTGCAGGGGAGTTGGGGGCTTATGAAAACCCTGGGCTGCACCTTAGATTAAGGCACTGAACAACACCCAGGGAGGCCCTGTTTGTGCAGCATGGAAGAGGGGAAGAAAGGCATGAAAAGAGGTACACCAAGGTCAAGGTCAACCCCTAAATTCTCTCCTCCCTGTCCTTGACGGAGACCCTAGCCCCCACTCCTGTGACTCACTTTTCCACCACAGAGGCTGGTTTGGGACCTTTGAACTTGTTTAAGAATCAGTGGGAGAGCTGGGGTTATGGCTCAGAGGTAGAGCGCTCCCCTCTCATGTGTGAGGCCCTGGGTTCGATCCTCAGCGCCACATAAAAATAAATAAATTTTTTAAATTTAAGTTTTTTTTTTTTTAAAGAATCAGTGGGCAGCGATGCGCATACCAATGAGTGCTTCAAAATGCAGATGGTGGGGGCTGGGGATATGGCTCACGCAGTAGTGGTAGAGTGCTTGCCTCTTGTGCACCAGGCCCTGGGTTCAATCCCCAGCACCACCAACAAACAATCAAAATGCAGATCACCTTCTCCTGGCCCAGCAGCCAGCACCGACATTTCAAGGTAGAACAGGCCAGAGAGCTGTGTCCACCTGGTCCCTGCCATCCCT